TCTTTCTTTCTTTCTTTTTTTTTTTTTTTTTGTTATCATTAATCTACACTTACATGAAGAACACTATGTCTACTAGGCTCTCCCCTATACCAGATCCCCCGAGGACTTGATGATTTTAAGTGCTGATGCTCAAATAAAGGAAAGAAGAGCAAAATAAAAAATTCTTTTTTCCCATAAGGACAGTCGATAGGGTGTTTTAGAGCATTTCAAAAAATGTCAAACATTTCCTGGCAGAGAGCATTGTCAGATGTTGACAAGATTTTCACCATAGGAAAGTTGTGGAATTTCTTTTTCTGAGATTTGTTCTTGAAACAAAAATAGTGTTTCAGTTGTCTGACTCGTTTTATAAGGGTAGCTCCACTTAGAGACAGATATATCAACCTCTCTAAGTTTCCCTCAGCCCTGTGATTCATACATCCTCATAATCTCCATCAGCCCAAATAGAAAAGAAGAAAAGCAAGTTTTTGCAATTTTATATTTAAAAATGTATACAATGAATTTTACCATCTCTTCATCCATCTGCAGTGTCAGTGGCTGGAATGAGGCTCTTCGCACAGATTTGAAATGATCCTTCCCTGTTCCTCCAGCTGCCAGGTGCAGCGTACTCACTTGGGCCTTGAGGGCCTCGGTCTCAGGCATAGTGGGAAGCCATGGCTGAGCTTCTTCATTGTTCCTTTTGGCCACAGGGAAGGTGGAAGTGCAACAAGGGCTGCGGGCTGTGTACCATAACATGCCTCTGCTGTGGCAACCAGGATACCTTAACAGAGCTCTTCAAGTGATGGAGAAGGTGGCCTCTTCCCCAGAAGATGGAAAGCTTTGTAGAGAAGCGGTATGTTTAACCATCTCCTGTTGCTTCTAAATCAAGCTTTGAATTTGTTTTCTTTGTCTTCTCCCTCCCCCTGCTTTATTTCTGTAGAATCATATACTTACCCAGTTGAAAAGGAATGAAAACCACAGCATTCTCAATGTTTCTGATGAAAAGCACTAGAAAATAAGATTAATGCTGATTTGATAGCTTACTTCTTAGAGGAAAACTTCCCTTCTCCTAAAATTCAAACTGAGTTCAATAAAATACTGCCTACTCCACCACCCCTCCCCCTAATAAAGTCTCCATGGGAGCTCAGGGAAACTTAAGATTGCATTTTGAAATTTTGACATTTTTGTACCTTTGAAGTCCCTGGAAAATATGTGGCAATTTTCCCCTCTTAATAGCCCTCAAGAATTGAATCTGGAGACCAGAGTTGGCACAGTCTTATCATTGAACCATTATGTGGTGAATGCCTGGTGCTGAGATCTGAATCCCATGTTCCTTCCAAAGTTCTTAGAATTCACTTCGAAAACTGTCCTCCCACCAACCCTAAAGCTCATATCTCTTGGTCACCTAGGACCCTTGGCACCATGAAGGTATGAGGCACAGCTCAGGCTACAGGAAATGTGGCATCTCAGAACCATATGATGAGCCCTACCCCTTAGGGAGCCACAGTGTCCTCTCCTGTCCAAGCAGCTTACGTCGTCAGGGTGAGGCCTAGAAGGACATAGGTTACTTCCTTACTAGAGTGAAAAGTTAGCTTTGAGCTGTTTATTCATTTTGCCTTGACACTGATCACTAAGATTCACCCCTTGGTTCTTGTTTCAGTCATGAGATACACATACTGGCTCCTTATACCGATGTGTAGGGAATCACTATGTTCTTTGCCAGACGTTTATAACAAAGCATGCACATTCCTAAATATATATTCATGATTAACCTTGCCATAGTGCTAGTGATTGAAAACAAAGAATTATACATAAATCCTTTGCTGGAATGCTGTTCCTTCCAGTCTGAGCCAGATTTGAATTCTTTGTGTTCTGACTTAATAGGAATGTGATCCAGATGTCAGCAAGAATGAGATATGTGTAAGGTTTGGATATAATGTGTCAGTGGCATTAAAAGGCCTTGTAGTATTTTCTGGATTTTTGTTCTCATGTGACATGGGCAGAATTAGTTGGTATCCATGCAAGGGCCAATGCTGGCCTTGGAGTTGTTCCTGTCTTATCTCTGATGATTAGGCCCTCTGTGGGTCAAGAGAGGTGTGCCCCAAGGGGAACATGGTGAGGAAAAGGGGTCATGACAAAAACTCTCTGTTTTACAATCTGCTTACTCTCTATGCCACAGAAGCCACCTCATGACAATGAATTTCATGTATTTGTCAGCTCATGTGGATTGCCCCAGTCCCTAATTTATGGATACCCTGTGAGCTAGAATCTTCCTGTGAAGGAGGCCCTCACCTGGATCCAGAGGCCTTACCGAGCACCCACAGTGGCCCTTGCTGGCTGTGGCCTGCAGTGTAGTTCTTTCCCTTCCTCCCGATTCCAAGCCCCTTGAGGAGGAATGACGTGGAAGGTGGTGGGGACAGGGACTTTAGTGCCCATTGAACATAATCCCTGGATTCCTACCTGGTTGATTAAAAGCGAAATCAAATACCTTGTGCTGATTCATATACATATAATTTGTACCATTTGTTTAGTATAAAGGTTTCCATGCCATTTGACAGGAGATTTCTAATGTAAAATCATATAACCATCTCTGTTTCCTGTAATTTTCTAAGAGAAGGAGTTCATGATTTTTTAGAACCCAGTTTTCCCTTCCTTTCCCTTCCCCGGTCTCTCTTCACAGTTGGTTTCAGGGCCACAGGATGTTTAGTTCCATGGCCCCCTTTCTGCTCTGCAGGTTGATGTGCTGGACAGGGCACTGAAGGCTCTGACCACTCCTGCCCATGGGTCTTCAGACGAGCAGCCCCAAAAGGGGGAAGACAGCCAAGGGCCAGAAGAACTGGTGGAACATTGGAACATGGAGGAAACTGAACAGTCCAAGCTTCCCCAGTATGTGGAACGATTTCAGGTGAGTCATAGCACAATAGAGTTCCTCTCAGCTGCATTAAGCATGCTTCTCTGCCAGGGTGATAGACAAGCAGTCCTTTCTTGCATAATGTCATACACAAAGACATGAAAAACTGACATCAAAAATTACATTTTTACTGCTTCACACAGGAAGTGGTCTTAAAAGAAACAAATGGAATTTTATGCTCCTTTTTGTACGAGAGCTAATCAGGTACAGTTTTGTTCACCAAGGCAGCATGTCATTACCCACAAATACCTGAGTGTGCCTGATGAGTGGGCAACACCTTGCCTCCTTCTTGCAGTCATCTGACTCCAACCCAGTGGAAAGGATCTGGTCGTTTCTCCATATTGCACTACATGTGCTGGATAACCCAGAAACCAGATAGAAATTACAAAGCCACATCTGGATCTGATGGAGATAAAATGCAGGCATCTCCTACTGCCTGGTTCTGTATTTGTGCACTAGGGCCATTAGGAATGCTCTTTTGGACTGCATGGAAGACAGAAATAAGTTTCCCTTTTTTTTAAGTTTTTTTCATTTCAATTTTTTTAGAACAGCCCTGTGCACGTGAGCTGCCTTTGGTGGCTTTCAGCTGCACATCCCTGAATGCTCTGTGATCTGTCAGGGGAGAAGAGAGCCGTGTTCGGAGCTTAAGCCCTTGGCCTCTTCCTTGTTTTCTTTCTCATTTATTTAGTGCAAAGAGAAAAGAGTGCTGCCACAAGGAGAATTCTTTGTATGAAGAAGAAAACCTTCCCATGCATGCCAGCTGACCTGTTGTGTCATTTGAGACAGTTGTAAATTTTTATTATTACATTTAAATCTTTTCAGTAATTTTATTGAGCCAGCTATTGGTTCATTTATATCAAACCCCCATATTAGAAGGGGGACCCTGTTGTATTGTTAACAGCTGCTTCTCCCAATATTTCGCTAAGGTCATTGCTCAACTTCCTTCTTGTATAATTTGAAAACTGAGAAAGAAAGGTTAACCAGTGTTCACAAGGTTAGGAAGCTAGGTTGAGAATTAACTTTTCTGTTCTTTGCTCTTGACTTTGCCTAACTCTGAAGATTTAGAAAGGCTAAAAAGCAAAAAAAATGTGCCTAGCCCTTAGATTATCATCCATGGTATTCATAATAACCAAGTCTTCCACAGTACTCCTTGAAATTACCACCTCTTTCTCTTGTAGCTTATTTATATAATCCCAGACAATAGAAATCTGTGCCTGCATTAAATTCTCAGCCCTCATTCCTCCATAAATGCATTTTTTTGAAAATCAGAAAAAGCAAAGAGACAAATATTTATTGGCTGCTACCTGGTTTGGGTACTGCTGCATTTATTTAGCCAACCATAGCTCTGAAAGGTCCTGCTTTTCCCACATGACATGACACCAAGGCTGAGAGAAACTAGCCCCTAAGTGACTGACTTGGAATTTGAACAGTTTGTTGACTCAAAATTGAGTCCTTACCCTAGTGTCCCAAGTTATCTCTTTGGACTCAAATTACAGAGAAAGTAATGTCAGAAAGAAATAACTTTCATTCTACATTTCCTTTTCTTCCTGTTGCCTGATTTTTATTAGTCTTGGCTACTTTGTTTGGGACCCATTTTTATAGACTGACCCATCACACTGGGCCTCTAGCCACTCCTTGAAGCCCATGGACCCCGCCCACCTCCCAGTGCCCCGTTGGAGCAGAAGCCTCATCACCTCTGCTGGGGAACTGCATGCATGGGACATGGGGATGTGTGGGAAAAGCTGCAGCGGGGGCTGTAAGTGGCTCGCTCTTGATGATCTGCATCTTGAAACACTTAAGCAGCTTAGTGTTTTTAGTCCCTTACTTCTGCAGGAACACAATACCGAGCAAACCAAGCTGCCGTTGCAGATGGAGCTGCAGGCGGTCCGTCTGTAAAGGCTGACCTGCAGAGGAGCACAGCAGGTGGAGGCTGAGAATAGTGCAGGCACTCATGGGAGCTGGTTCACATGCCATTAGTAAGAAATCCTTGAAATGATTTCCATCTGTTGAAAGGCACACTCATTTGGCAAACATTTATCTCAGTTACTCTGGAAGAAAGGGTATGGAGGGGCTTGCTTTGGTCCCTCAGCTGCTTCTGCTATTTGTATGCATCGTAGGGTCCGCATTGTAGGGTCCACTGCGTGGGTTGGTGCACATCAGCATGGACGTGTAGGTTTGCTGTACTAATGCTGTCTTTGTGATTTGAAGCCAGAAATTACACAGGGAATTGCAGCATATGAAGTTCCTTTTACTCTTTGTGAGTGAAGAGGGAGAAATCCCATGTGGTACATCATAGCAGAATTGCTGGGCTGAGGAAGAAGGGGCAGAAGCTGCCATGCCTGGGTGAAAGGCAGCCCGGCAGGCTCCCATAGTGCCTTGTCCTACCTGCAGAATGCGTAAAGATGTTGCCAGTGACTTAATCTCTTTGCCTCTTTGTAGTCTTCTCCCACCTTCCCACCCTTTGCCCCCTTTTTTCCTTTGTTTCCAACAGGCCTTACAGTCTGAGCTTCAGGCTCTGGGCAAGGTTGAGGCAGGAAGCCTTTTGACTTTGACCACCCAGCTCGTCAAAGAACAGCTCCCCACCTGTGAAGCAGAGGACCTCACTGCCTATGAGCAGAAGCTGCACCAGTGGCATCTGGAGCGGGGATACTTGCTTCAGAGGGAGCAGGAGCAGAGAGAGAGGGCAAAGCAGGAGCACCAGGCTTGGGGAGCAGCAAAGACCCCTGCCTAACAAGAACTTCAGCTCAGGATTCACAGGGATGACAGCCTCTGCTTCTTCCGTCCATCTTCTCCATTTCTTAAAGCAGGCCACTTGTGACAAAAGAGCCACAGTGCTCTGCACGTTAAGGCATTGCATCTGCCAAGAAGGGCTATGGCACTGTACATAGCAAGCGGTCAGACCGAAGCCCCAGCTGAACACCGCGGATAAGGGGCTCTCACATCTTACGGTGGGGCTCCTGGGGCCAGGGATTAGTTTTGAACTTTGAAAGTTCCTGATTCCTAGCGGTGGGGGTGGGAGAGGCTGCACCTGAAGGATTGGGTCTCAAGCACAGCTTTTGAATGGTATCTCTCCCCAGCAGAGGTGAAATGCTTGTCCTGAGGCCCACCCGCCTCTGTCTCTGCTAGAGCAGGTACTCGGCCTGAGCTGGGTGCCCACACATCCCCAATTCTCTCCCTCTCCCATGTCTCTTCCTTCCAGGCCAGAACTGGAAGAAGTTGAATATGGGAGTGAACACAAGACTGTCAACCCACTGACTTTCAGATTTTAGGAGGCCACAAGTCGATTTTAAAATGTCAGGGCTTTTCACAGGACTTACCCCACAGGTATCAAAGATTATAATGTTACAGTAATTACAATACTAAAACACTAGCACAGGGGCAGACAGACTGGCTATGGATCAGAAAGGAATCCAGACATGCATATACAGATATATTCCCAAGATGGCAGTATTTGTGGTGAGAAAAGACCAAAAAATAATAATAATAACGATAAGTCAGGGCTTTTGAGGAGAAAGCCGGCTGTAGCTATGAAGCCTCCTTGGCTTGGGTCTCCATCATGTTAGTTAACTTCTTTCCAAAGCATTGTCTCAGCTCCTTCATCAAGTAGGTAAAGTGAGCCTTTTGTGTACACACATGCACAGCCTGCGAACACACATCTCAGTGGGAGAAAATGGAAGATGTGATGAGGCTTGCAGTATGAAAAGGATGTGAGAAATTGTAAAACCATCAGGATTCTGAAGTTTCTCTGAGAAAGGGGCTGGGGGCACCTCTTGCTTGCTATGTAATTTTGCCTTTAAATACAGACATATGCTTTTATTCAGCATTGTGACCTTTCATCAAGACTGGAAATAAATGTTCTGGGATTATTTTGTGTATTGTTTCTCTTTGGGGAAGGGTGGGAGAGAGAAGGAATCTCACCATCATGATAGTTCTGTAATTCTGAGCAATTTTCAGCCTTCCTCCATTAATCAATGGCATTTATAATAACTGCCATAACCACTAACATTTGCTGAGGACTTGGTGATAACAGCTGAAGCAGCCCTCTGAGAGGGGTCCAGCACCCCATTCCTGAATGAGGAAACTGAAACTAACTTGGCCGCTTTTAGGCCAGGATAGCTTCTCGTCCTGGACGTCACCTCCGTATATGCCTGCAGTTAGCATCTATCACAGGGCCCTGTGGACAAGTGGCACTCAATCTTACTTAGGTAGAAGATTGTGACCAAAAGTCAGCTCTGACATTTTGGCTTATTATGGGCAGGGCTTTTTTGTCTACTCCCTCATTACATCAAGAGGAAAGTTCAAGATAAATCAAAAGGTATCATTTGCTCAGTAAATTAGTAACCATTGCAGCCTGAAGCATCTGGATAATCATTTGGCTCATAATTTTGCATTCCTATTTCCTCCCCACCCATCACTGTCGCCCTCTATGTCCAGTCCTTGCCAAAAGAAACCACTTCTGTGGTGGGCATGCTCCCGCTGCTCGGGATTTCCCCCATGCTTGTGCCCCCGTCTCTCAGGAGCTCTCCCATCTGGGAGTCATTCCCTCCAATCTGTTACCCTTTCCCCATGCTTTTATCTCCTGAGTAATCCTTCCTGGGTAATCTTGAGGTCTGACTACAGTTGTCCTCTGTCCTTTTCCCCAATACCTCTTCGGTATTTCTTCCATGTGAATGGAGAAGCTTTTCAGTGCCCTGGCCTTTGGGAATGACCTTAACTGTAACAGATTGCCGTGCCTCTTGCTAACCTACCATAGTCACAGTCAGACCTCCAGCCTTACATCACTAATCTTAGAACTTACAACCTGAAGCCTTACTCCCCCATCTTCTCTTTCTCTCACACCCTGACTCCTGCTTATTAATCAGCTTTTTTCCCATTACTTTCTGCCTGCAAATTTAACTTTAACTCTTGTCACTCAAACCCTTGATCTCCAGAATTCAGACCCCACTTGCCTTCCTCCCAGCCTGGACCCCATGGTTGGCTATCCCACAAATGCTCTCCTTAGCATCTTTAATTTCCTCTCATTCCTTTTATCAGGCTTACTTGCCATCCTTGGACCCACCTGCTATGGGTTGAATTGTGTCCGTACCAAAAAGGTATGTTGGGGCCCTAAACCACAGTACCTTAGGATCCTTAGTTGAAAATAGGGTGTTTACAGAGGTAATCAAATTATACTGAGGTCATTAAGATGGGCCAAATCCAATATGACTGGTGTCCTTGTATAATAGGGAAATTTGGACATAGAGGCAGACACAGGGAAGACGTGAAGACACGTGGGGAGGAAATGGCCATGTGACTGGAGTGGTACATCAAGATGCCAAGGATTGCCAGCAAACACCAGAAGCTGGAAGCAAGGAAGGATCGTATCCTAGAGCCCTCAAAGAGCATGATCCTGGTGACACCTTGATTTTGGACTTCTAGCCTCCAGACCTGTTCTGTTCTTTTAAGCTACCCAGTTTTTGGCACTTTGTTATAGCAGCCTCAGGAAACTAATACACCACCAGACATATTCTTCCTGTTTGCTTCTGACCTACTTCCTAAGTGTTGGTATATGAAGTCATAGTCCCAGGCTGACTGATTCCTCTTCAACTCAGAGCCCTTTCATTTACCTTCCACCGCCTCTCATTTTTACCTCATTAGCTTTTCTACTTTGTCAAGAAAATTTAGGCCACATAGTCCAACCTCAATCTCCCTTTCTACCTGAAGAGTTCTCTATCCTTGCCAGTTCTGTCCATCATCCCTCCAACTTCTGAGTGATAGGTAACCCTTCCCTCCTTTCCCAAGGGTAGGTTCTTGATTTGTGACCTGATTCCATATCTGCCTGCCTGTTCCAGAATCACCAAGTCTTCCCTTTCCATCTTATATCATGTCTACTGATTTCTTTGAAGTTAACAGTCTTTTTCAAGACCTTCTTCTCTTTTAGACACAAAAAAAGCCTTCATTCTGCCATCAGTCAAACTACCCTGTCAGTCTTTCTCCTTTTGTCACCAAACTTCTTTAAAAGGGTATCTTCACTGACTGGCAATTTGTTCATTCATTAGACCCTAAAATTCAGGAACTTACTCTGCTACACATTAACTGCAATGATCCTTTGTCCCTCTTAAATGCTCTGCTCCATTTATCACCACTGACCAACTCTTACAAGTTTGGTTATTACAGCAGTCTGTCTGTCTCTGCTCTGGTACTGTTTCCATGTGCCAATAAGCATTTGGCATACACTGCGTAAAGCATCGTACTAATTGCTATGGACTTTACATGCATGAGTAAACTGTAGATCCTGCCCTCAAATAACTTCAATTCCACTGAAATAGAGGAGGGAACCGCATAAGGACCTATCAACACAGCTGCAAAGTATCATTAGAGAGACGGATAAAGTGCACAGGTTTTCACAGGAACAGCACAGGAAAAGCTCTAATGAAGGGAGGTCATCATCTGCTTTGCGCTGTGGTCAGTCACATAGGTCTGTCTCAAGCTGTCCTGGGGTAGAAACAGCCTCTCCTTTCTCTTGGAGTCTTGTGTAGAGTGGATGTTCAAAAATTATTCTAAATTGAACAGAAAGGAACAATGCAGACTAAATCGGTTTTGGCCCACAACCCACACCCAGCGTGGCCAAAAGGAGGAGGAGGAGGAGGAAGGCAGAGTGCTGAAAAAGCAATGGTGAGTACAAACACTTTGCCTCCTCCTCTTGGGGCTGTGTTGCCTTAGCACCAAACTTTTCATTTTGTTTTCATACTTTCTAGCCAGCCGTGGAGGTCAGATACATGTGTGGGGAAGTCATAGACTTTACTTGTAGTTAAAGGCCTTGAAAATTAGTTTATTCGAGTCATTTTTTCACTCTGACTAAAATAGCATCGACTAACATAGCATCCAGTGAGTAGAGCTAAGGATGTTGCTAAACACCTTAGAGTGCACAGGGCAGCCTCTGTAACAAAGAACTATCCAATCTACAGTGTCAGTAGTGCCAAGGTTAGAAACCCTGGCCTAGAGTGTATGAGCAGGGCACCCACAGGAATTTTTTTCAGTTGTAGATGAGCCCCAAGGGTAATGTTGGTGCAGATGGCTGATTTACAGTTATTTCTCAGCTAGAAAAATAATTAGCATTAGTTGTTTCTTGCCTGATTGAATATAAAATATGTAGTGTTGTAGGGTGGGCCATTATGCTGCCTAAACAGTCCATTGTGGAAAAGGGTGAATGATAATTTGTGTGCTTTCATTTATATATAACCTTACTACACTCCATAACCTTGCTGGTGTGCATGGGTGAGGCGGCGATGGAACTGGAAGTGGGCTCAAGGGACTTGAGCTTTAGTGAATCATAAAAGCAGAAAATGTTGTATGATTGTATTTTCATTAAATGATTACTAACCTTCAGAGCTGAACCTCTCAACTGTGAAAATGGTACATTTAAAAAAATCTTACTTTAGAAAATGAGGAAAAAGGAGTGCTTCTCAACATAGTTATGTCAGGAAAATTGCCTTTTATTCTAAAAACTTCTTAGCTTTTCCTGTTGATTTGGCCTTTTTGCGGACAGTACATGCTGCCACGATGATGTTACTGTATGTTAACAGTCTAAACAGGATGGCGGCAGTGCCCCTGAAGTTGTGGCAGTTATTTCTAGGATCTCTGTTTAAAACTAACCAGTTCTACTTAGGCTGTGTGTCTATTATGTATGGATGTTTAGTGATTCCAGATCTGAGCTGGACATGTTCAGAAAATTAAGTATATTCTTACAAAAGCCATCTGAAAATAAATTCCATTATGGGCTTCAAATGCTAGATCAAGGACTACTGGAAAGATTTTTAAAGAATTTATGAAAGGGATGGTATATCCTCTGATGTACCCAATGGTAGGAGAATTACACTGGCTTTTTTGGTTTCTGTGATGCTACATCTCTGCAGAATTCAAAATTTTAATCCCTAAAACACCCTCTGAGGTTACTGTGCCTGTGGAATAGAACAAGAATGCCCATTAAGTTTCCCACCAGTGACAGTATTCTGGGCCACAGTTGGGTGTTAGTGTTTTCCAGGCCCTGGCTCATGAGCATGGACATCTTGATTACAAAAATTAAAGTTAATGACTCCTCTTTGTGAATGCCCATTTCCACCTAATTTAGTACTACGTAATTAAATACATCCTGACCCTTACAACAGCCCTGCAGGTCAGGGGTTATTACCCTCGTTTTGCAGAGGAGAAAACTAAGACTTTTGCAGCTTGCACACAATTATTAAATGGCAAGGACAGTGTTTGAATTGAAGTCTGTCAGAATCCAAACCTACTTTCGAATAGCTATACTATATAACCACTGTGCCAAACTACACGGTGTGTACGTTCACTGGTTCACTCATTCACTCATTGATTCATTCATTCAACTGATATTTCTTGAACATCTTCTATATGTCAGGCACTCTTACAATAATCACTGAGAATACAGCAAGGAACAAAACAGACTAAGATCCCATTCCTTGTGGCGTTTAATTCTATGGAAGGAGACAGTGCATATAATATGTCATTTGGTGATACATGATACAGAGACAAAGCAAAGAAGAGAGTGAGTACTGTTAAAGTGGTGGAGGAAGCAACTTGCAAAAGGACGGTTAGGGAAGGCCTTCTGGAGAAGACAGCGTATATAAGAAGACCCATGGAAGTGGGGTTGAGAATCATGGAGTCACCACGGAAAGAGCACGGCAGACCGGAAGCAGAATCAAGGAGGCCAGTGTGGCTGGAGTAGAACATGTAAGGTGGAGAACAGTGGGAGATGAGGCCAGACAGGTAAGGGGGAGGGGAGGGGACAGATGATGTAAGATGCCCTCACCCATTAGTAAGGCTGTTGGCTTTTATTTGAAAAGAGAACCCATCTGAAGGTTTTGAGCTGGATGGCGTGATCTGACCTCACATTTTTAGATGATTAGTCCGGCTGCTATGTAGAAAATAAAGTAGGAAGGCAAAGACAGGAAACAGGAAGATCTGTTCGGAGGCTACTGCAGTGATCCAGCAGAGAAAAGACTGGCTTGAACAAACATAGTAACAGTGAATGTGAGGAGATGGGTGGGATTAGATGTATTTTGAACCAGCAGATTTGCTGACAGGCTAAGATTTTTGACCTGAGCAACTAGAATGATCTATTTGCCGCATTTACTGAGGTAGAAAAGCCTAGAGAAAGAAGCAGTTTGGAGAGATCAGGGATTTGTTTGGGAGCAGGTTAAATTTGATTTAAGGTATTTTAAAGATTAAGATCCCAAACAGAACTCTTAATAGACAGCTGGATATATGAGTTTGAAGATCAGAGAAGAGGTACAGAACTGGAGATACAAATTGTTAAGGTCACTGATTTACACATGGCATTTAAATCCATGTGACTGCATTAAAGTAACAAAGTAGCTTGAGTGGGCAGAGTCTGGGCATGAAATAGAGTTGTGCCTATTTTTTATGGAACTATCACCCCATGAACCAGGCCCCATGATGATATTCCATCATATGTGAAAATGTTGCCAGTAACCCCCAGAGAATTAGCCAGAAGAACTGCTCATATTAAAGTAACTGGGTGTGACCATAATCAATCTGCATATATGGTTCCAATGAATTTTCAAGATGTACAGTATAAGATCAAAGAGTATATAGTGATCTGGGATTATGCAAGAGGCCAAAAATTCATGAGTCAGGAGGGTGTTGAAAGATCATTGTAGACACCGAAGCCTTCAGAATGAGCAGTACAATTACAGAGAGAAAATGTACTCACAGTACATGAACAGACCTTTGTTGGTTTGGAAGACAGGCAAAAAGAAACTGAAGAAAAGCTACCTCCAATGTATAGAAAAAAGACTGCCTGCAAGGGATGAACTCTCGCCCATCTCTGTTGTGCCTAGGTCTGGAGGCAATGGGATATAAACCCAAGGAAGGATTCAGGTAGGGCTTCCCTGGGGCTAAGGGGTCTCCTGGGACATAGGACTTTAGCACTAAAACCAGGGCAGTGTTGGGTAAGGCCAGATGGTCAGTCACCCTAGGTTTAGGCCAGAAAGACTTCCTGGAACTGAATATTTGGGCAGTGGAATAGAAGACAGCTTATTTATTTAAGTTTGGTCTGATGGAATTAAAATCTCTTGGTGTTAATTTCCCACCTGAGTTTTCACATGCTTAACACTCTAATTTATGTAGGGATTTCAGATCCCTCTTGGCAAAGAGTGACTCCAGTAAGGGCCTGGTCAGAGAAACCCCATGGTTTGGAGGCACAATGTAAGATCAAAAAGAGTGTGTGTAGTAACAAAGGGACATCATGACTGAGGACAGGCTGCAATGCCTTTAGACACCAAAGGGGCATCTCTGAAGACAGGCGGGGCCAGGTACTGGAACACTATTGAGCACCCCGGGCACATTTTCTGTGGCCATAGGGAGGATAACTGAGGTGCCAGGACCTCCCTCCACACTCTGCCACTCTGAGCAGTCCGGGGCCAGCGCCCTCTCCATTGAGCCTGTGAGCTGTTGCCTCTGCCCGGAACTGCCCCCCACCCCCCAGCACACACACACACACACACACACTCCAGGTCTCAGTTTAGACATCACTTTCTGGACCTTCCCCTGTGGTCACAGCTCACCCCTGAATTTTGGGGGCCCCTGTGACCCCAGTCCGTTAGGGCAACACATTTTATTCACCTTTAATTCCACAGTATTACCCCCTGTTGGGTATAGAGTGAAGGAACGGTGGGTAATCATTTGAATGACTAAGAGGAATTCTTCCTGTTTTCAGATACTCCTGTTAGTCATCATCACTTCTCCTAAACAGCATCTAGGTCCTGGGTGTCGTCAGATCTCGTGTTTTCTGTTAGTTGTATAGAGCTTATTCTGTAACCGAGCAAGAAACCAAGAGGGAGTGAGGTATTGGATGTAATTACTGAGTATGATGACTTTGTAGAGCCCCAGAAAGTAGCTATGGGAGGCACCATCCAATTTGACCATCGTATCAGACCCTCTCATTTATAGCTGAGAAAAGGAACTCCAGACAGAAAGGTGACCGATCACACAGCCAGGTGTAGCAGAGCTAGGATTAAAACCTGGTTTTGGGTTTATATTGTGGATTGCGTAGGAAACCAAAACCCTCCCGATAGCTTCCTTTAACTCACCACCCAGTTTCTGCCCTTAGATCCCTTAGAAACGGGTTATTAAAAGATAACAAGGTAATAGTTATTAGAATAGTAGCAGGGCCCTCTCCAAAGTTTGCCCGAAGCCAGGGAGCCCACTCTGAAAAGAACACAATCACCCTGAGTGAGAACGCCCAGGGGGTGGCAAATTCCGACGCCCGAGGAGCCCAACTCGGCAACACAAACGAAAGCACAGCGCAAACGAGAACTTCCGCCACGTTTGTATTTTATTGTGGAACTGTTTTTTTCTTTTACATCAAATATCCTCAATGGAAGAGGGGATATTGCACACAAATATCATAAAAGCACTACATATTACTTTCACTGAAAACTAATTTTCTACATTAGATATGACTGGATAGGATAGAAGTGATGCAGGATTATAAGACATACCATACACAGCTGCAGACTGACACAAACACCATTCAGAACGAGAGAGGAGTGGGACGTGCTTCTCAGCCAGGCTCCAGACCACTTCTTGTCAGGGTCAGAAAGAGAAGGGCTGCGTGCGGCGCCGGGGCACCACTTTGCCTCGCGGCCCGTGTTCCCAAAGGGCAGCCCGCCTCCGTGCCTCACCTCGATGGCTCCTGTTTTGGGGAGCTCCAAACGAGTGCAGAGAAGCTATTTGTTTTTTTCCCTTCCTTTTCAGTTTTTGATGCTGCCTTTTTTCATGAATAAAGTCACAGATTTTTAAAAAATAGTAAATAGTTTTAATACCAGGTGAATAACCTAATTGCTTTCAAAGAAATGCTCATCCCTAGACTGCTTTTGATGTGTTGTTCAGTTGGTTAAAAGGTAAAAGCTTACAATTCCTTTTGAATGGAAACAGGATCTTCTAAATCTGAAGCACAAAAAAGAGTTATTAAGCTGATTCACATTATCATTACAGAGCAAGAACCTCCTGTGACAGGTGACTAGAGGGAGGCAAGAAGAGCGGCTTCGGGATCATAGAGCAGCTCCTGAGAGCTGAAATTTGGTATCGGAAAATGGAAGGTGGTAAAATTTCCATTAGCAAATGGCTGAATCTTATCGAACGAATATTGAAAAGCTCCTAAATTGCGTAAGCTATTGGAGACATTTAAAACATTCATATACACTGGGGAAACCATTCACTATGTTAAGGTTAAGAAAAAAAACATCTTTTGGAACTCCATGGGAAATGGCATTGGGGTGCAGGGCAGGGGCTGGGGGAGTCAGTCATTGTATCCAGTCCCACCACAAGACTGAGAAAGCATGCAAGGGGGTCGGGTTTTGAGAAAGGGGGCAGAATTAGTTAAAATTCAAAATGGAGGATCATCTCTAACATTTAGTGTCTGTAGAATTTTGCTTAAGAATACTACCGAAAAGGTCATGATGACTGCTCTCTCCGTGGAGTCCCATCCTTTCAACAGAGTGTCAATTCTTTCCATATTCAATCTATACAATCAGATTAAGTCATCAGTATGAATAAAGCTCCTAGAAGTCTGTGTCAATCTTTAGCTCTCACCATAAATGTACATGGTACATTGTGATGGCTGTTACTAAACTAAGTAATGTGTGTTTATGGAACTAGCAAAATTAGGTTAGTCACATGGGTAGGAAAGGTGTCTGGAAGGACAGGAGCAACCTGTAATGCAATATTGATTCTCCTGGTATACTCGGGCTCTGTGGTCATCACTGAGGAACAATGGACGGAGAACGGTGCGGATATATTTCATAGGAAAAAGAGCCAGCTAACCAGTGACAGCTTCTGTGGATTTTACCATTAAATCCCACTGCATACAAGGAAAAAGAAAAAAGAAAAAGGAGTGGGATATAATGGCTATAATTGAAGATTGGCTATAATTCTCCAAAATGTTTGCATTTTTTAAAAAAGGAAAATGCACACGTTAAATTTCATTGGGGGAAATTAGAAAATAATTCCAACTTCTATCAAAGAAAAATCAACCAGAGGTATCGATTTGGCAAAAAGGCTGGAAATCTATTTCTTTTCCCATGCATTATGTGGACCCAGCCAACTCAACTTAACAACTAACCATTAAATAATTATCTTGAGTATCTAGGTTGTCTCATAAAATAAGCTTGAAGTCCATGAGTTTATACTCTGTGAAATCCATTTTTGTCACAGTGAGTTTTCCATTGTGTGTTAATTTTTTGTACCCTTTATCAATGTGTTATTTGGAAGTACTTGAAAGAAATGGGGTAATAAATAAAAGCTGCATCTCTAGAGAAGCCTAAAAAAAATAGAATATTAATTTTTTTAAAAATTAAACATTTGAAAAATGTAATTCACAGCATTAAGTAGACTGCACAGGTCCTCAGTGAGGGACCCTGAAGAAGCATTGTTGAAACCCTCATAGTAGTTAGCAGTGCAAAACATACACTTATCAGACAAAAATAAACTAAAATGTTAATTTTGAAATAAATAACTAACATAGAAAATAAAATGAGGTCACTGTTCACTACTCCGTAGATCTTAGAGTCTGCAGGAAACCCAGCGTGACAGAGCAGAGCACGGCTGTCACTGAGAAGTTTGCCCCATCTGAATGCCGGGTGCATTGATCTACAACTTGAAACTTGGTGTCAGTGTCCCATGATCTGGCTTCCAGGTTCATAGTTCAAAGATGACAATGATGGAAATGATCCCTGAACTCAACATAATGCACTGTAGGAGTTGGGAATTCATTTGCTTTCAATGCATTATTTCTTTCTCTTTTTTTTCCAGAAAAGAAAATCCCAAAGCAGCTTTTTGCTAGCGTTCTTTGAACTTGGCTCTTTCATCTCATGGTTGAAGATCTTGAAAGAATTATGTAGGATACCACTGGGTGATACACCTGTGAAGAAAGGCCTGGACAAGTAGCATACCATGCCATTCTCCCCCACTCTCAAATAATACATACTCAAGA